GTCTTTTGTAGTTCTTAATAAAATCTGTCCTGTACCAATTTCTCTAAGCCCTCTTTCCTCATTATGTGCCATAAAAATTTTAGAGAAAATGAAAACAAAGAAGACAAGTATACTTCACATCAGGAAGATACAGATGAAATTTCTAGGGCACATAATGAAGAAAGAGGACTTGGAAAATTTAATACACACAGGACAGATTGAAGGCAAGAGGGACAGAGGAAAACAATAGATGACCTGCTTAGAGAGTTTGAGTAAATAGATGGCAGAACAAGATTTAGTATAGATAACAAAAAAACAAAATTTATTGAGAGCTACAAAGAAGAGGAAATTGTGGTGAGCCATGATCACTTACACTATGAAGGGATATAGCATATAGAAGACATAATGATGTATAAAAGTTTCTCAAAACATCAAGGACTTCTAATAAAGGAACAGACAGGAAACATAATTATTTTTTCTACATAATCTCTATCTGAACAGTGTTTCCAATATTCTGATTTGTTTAGTCAAAAAAAAAATTTAAATATCATTTAACACTATGTTAGTCATATAAAGTGTTTTGTTACACCAAAATTTTGAAAGTACTCATAATTCTTAGTTAAGTTCTTCTCACTACTCTCCTGACTCAATGAGGGTGTGTAGCATGCAGTGTGGCACAGTTGTAGCTCAGCTGTCCCAGGAGGCAGACATCACTTTGTCTTCTTTATCACCCCAGCTGGCTCATGAGTTTTCATGATTTATATAATATTATATACATATGTCTATGTGTATTTAAGCAGCAAATTCTCTTTTAGGTATGTCTGATTAAATAAATTAAAAACATGTCTGCTTATTTTTAGCATAATCCACTCATATTCACAGGCAATGGTCAATGAAATGAAGCCAAGTAAAAACTAGGATTTTAAATGATATGGTTTCTGAGACAGATAACCATCCTCAACTTGGAAGATGTGTGCAATATAATTTTCCTAGATCAGACAAAATAAACAAATATTTACTAAGTTGAATAAATATCAGTAGGTTTTTGGTGTGATAGATAAAACATTCATGATGAAAAATTGATCTTTTGGAATGACTCAATCTCCAGGACAAAATAATATATACAATCATGATTTAATCATAGTAGGAAGAAATACAGAAAAATATATCAGTATAGTTTTATTAGTATATTAGTAATAGTCAAAAGATAAAAACTATATATTTATTGTTCCTTGTTTCTTCTTATACATATGCTGGGTTCAATGGATAAATTGTCGTCTAAATTACACAAAAGTGAAAATAACTCTGACATCTCATTTTAACAGATATATTTACCAAAATTAAACAAAAAATATCTTGAAGTACTAAAGAGTAAATTTACTCAATAAAATCACTATTGGCTTCAACCACAGCCTTCAGACAACTCTTCTGGTCAGTCTCCTTGTTTAAGTTTGTGAATCCTACCATAATCCTTGGCTTCAGTTCATCTTTGGTGTTCCAAGAAGTTTTGTTGGCCTCTCATTCAATTGCACCCCACATATAATAATCAAAGGAGTTGTAGACTGGGGAGTTAAGTAGCCAGAATGTGAGGGATGATGTGGTCACAGAAATTGTCTGACAACCATGACTGGTTTCTCCTGCTTGTGTGGCATGGTTCAGAGTTCTTTTACCAGGCATAGCATCTTCCAGTAGCCACCTTCTTGACCCAGGGTGGCACTACCTCCTCAAGGTACTTGATATAGGCCTCTGTGTTGAGAGTAAGGCCTGGTGGGAAGATGAATGGAGGCATAATGTCACCATCACTAGTGATCACTCCAAACACCTTCGTAATCCCCATTAGACAAACAAGCAGTACAGCATGCTGTTTCCAAATTTCTGGCGTTGTTAATTGTGCTATGGTGCTCTTTTTCTCAGACGGTGCCTAACTGCCCTTAATATACCGTGCAGTCAACAAAATCAAAAACAATGCACATGCATGAAATTAAAATATAAAATGGTGATAATTTACTCATCGCACCCTGTATAGTGAGGTACAATGGATATTGGCTCAGATTGTAGAATCGGAGAGTTTGAATTCCACTTGAGTTTGTTGCATTAAGTTACATGCAAATACACTTGAGGAAGATATGAATTCATCTTCTCTTCCGCCAACTATGAGGAAACAGCAGAACAGACTGGGTCCCTTAACCTTTGGCTGACAACCAATCTAAGAGAAGGACAACTCTGAATACAAAACCTAAGGAGAGTTGTTGGGGACCTTGAAGTAGGCCGTATGCACCAGTTCTCTGTATTCAGCTCTTCCAAAAAGTGTGGTTGATTCTGTAAAAGCCTTCACCATTATAATCAGTGAGTAGTCTGGATGAATAGATGTACTCTCGTATGACAAAAACAATGAGAGAATCCCATATATATATATTATTAAAATAGAAGTAAAAAGATTCAATACTTATCAAAGGTCAACTCAGTGTTTCATAATATTTTTATTTCTCATCAGAGCTCTCAATAAATATGATTGCATTGATCACAGAAAATCTATTTCATAAGCACATATTTGTACACTAACTTTCAAGTTTAAATTCTACAGTCAGAACTCTCAAAGTGATGAGTTTCTCACAACAATTGAAAAGTCAAATAATTATATTGGGTGTTGTTTTTGCTTAGCGGCATATCAACTCTCTATGGGTTATTTAATGCTGAAATCTAAATATTTTGTACACAGTTTTGTTACAGATATTTTGTACATAATGTTATACTTTCAGGGCAAACATAGGTTTTTTTAGATATATAGTTTGTAGATAAAATGTATTGCTGGTAATTTTTACTATAAAATTTTTATACTTTAGTGCTGTATTGATTGTCATTTTGCTATAAAAAATGTATTACGACTACTCATTTTTTTTTAATAAATATATTGCTGGTATTTTTACCATAATGTATTTTTGTACATGTGAACCAGCAAACAAAAATCAAAACACTATTTTCCCATAGCTGGGACCCTACCAGGGGCTAACATCTCAAGTCAGGGTGGACCTGGGAACAACAGCAATTAAGAGGTGGTTCCATGCCCCTCAAAACCTTCCTCATCAGAGGCCTTGCTGCCATAATCATGTTGGATTTATATCGTTAAATTTAAGATTACTTTTACAGTAGTTAATCATGCAAGCTCGTTACAATGACAGTTTTCTTCTTTTATGTATACACTTGCATATCGCTATAAATACAAACAAAATAAAATTACTGACATTAAAAACCACCATATATCAATAATATATCTTTTCTTTCTTTTTTTTAATCATTTCACCTCAAAGAGGGCATAATATCATTATGACACAAGGGGTTACTTAAAGTGAAAAAAAAATGAGGAAATATCAGCAGAGAGAAAGGACAATAAAAGAATAGGATACAGGAAGATAAGAGATTGGAATTGAGGTTGCATTTATATTTTTAAAGATTCTAGGTGTCATGGAAACAATTAACTGGAAGAGAGTTCCACAGTTGAGAAATGAAAGAAAAGAAACTATTAGAATAGAACTTAGAGTTACATAGAGTTATTTCATGAGTAAAATAATGAAAGAGAGTTGCCAGTCTAAATTCACATGGCCAAAAGTACCAACGAAAGCTTATTAGAAGAACTGACATGAAAATATTTATAGAAAAGTCACATGGAAGCCATGTACTTATATTTAATACATGTTATATTATTGAATTATATTAAACAAAATTACACCATCAAAAATTATAACATTAAATAACCTAGTCATATATAACCTTTTTATATATATTGTACAGACAGATAATGAATTTAGTTTTGTCTTGTACAAACATTAACTGAAAGGAAAAGATTGTGTTGCACCAATCCTTCAAGTAAAGGGGGTCAAATTACCATAAAAATTATCATTCAAAGTCCTCACTTTTATCAGAGCATAAACAATAACTTATGCAAGAGGGGATAATAAAAGAGGTGCTGAAAAATTATTGGGGGTCCAACCCTACATCCCTAAATCAGAATTCTGATGTTCAGTTTCTGAATTACTAATTTTTGGAGGTGAGATCAGGCCATAAAACTGTTAAAAAACCCACTCATATATTTATTTATAAACAGGTTTGGTGAAATTCAATCAAAAAAAGTGTGATTTGTTTAACTATTTATTTTATTTTTCCAATTTTTTATTAAGATTGTGAATAAGTTGCCCAAATTTCAGGGTTTTGTTTAAGTACTGAGCAACTCAGTCATTATCAGGAACTGAATGTTGTCAGTCCTTCTCTGTTGAATTTAACAAAACTCATTTAAATTAATTCTTATTACTTATATATATATATATATATATATATATATATATATATATATATGGCAAAGTGTAAAAAGTTTTATTTGTGTCACATTTTGTCTTTCAGGACTTCATTGGATTAAATTTGGTATCTTAGTATGACTACACATGTGCACAAATGAGGGTTGGTGGGTATTTTATAATTGTTTCTATTATATATATATATATATATATATAAAGCATACAATTTAAATTTAAGTAATATAAAAACTAAAAACTGTAATGAAACATACTTTTTTTCAAAATATCTCAAATATGAGATGAGATAAAAAATGTTTCTTATTAAAAGCAAGCAAAGATGTCATGAAATAATTATGTGAATTTGTTTAGCAATCCAATTTCATTCCAATGTGAAAGTGAAGATTTTTTTATACAGAAAAAAAGACATGTAAAAGGAATAAAGAGTAGAAAACTGACTTTATGCACAAAAATTTCAAATATTTCTTTCTTTTTTTTTTTTATAATAAAATAACATTATATTGACAATGAAAATGATTTTTTAAAAAATATAATTCTGAAAATGGTGGTAAAGATAGTGAGAGAGTAAAATACAGTGAAAAAAGAAAAGAAGACCAAAGTTAAAAAAAGGGAATTTAAAAAAGAATTCCCAAGGTTTTTACAACAGTTAATAATACCAAATACAAAAAATGCAAGCAAGAGAACCAAGTAATTAAAGAAAGAACAGAACAGTACCTGCTTGAAACCTCGATACATTATCTGTAGTTCTTTACGAGAGAACTTTGTATTTCGGCACAGTACATCCAGACCCTCTGGCTTGTACCGTACCATTTGCATTTCAAGATCATCGATGTCATGATCTGAAAAATCAAAGGGAAACATACTTGTTAAAATATATTTTATAAATAAACATGCAAATAAAAATTTCCAAAAACAAAGATTATCATTTTTTTTTACTTTTGCAGTCAAGTACAATGATACATTACCAATGCCTATCTGTGGTTACTAATAGGACTTTAGAGCATATTAGTTTGGAAAAGTTTGTAGTAATGTATTTGATTTACAATGTAAATATGACACTTACTTTGTATCTGCCATCACGGTGGAGTAATGGATAGCATCTCGGATTAACCTATTTAATGTTGGTTGATTATATATATATATTTATATATATATATATATATATATACATACACACACACACACACAGAGCAGCCAACTTTAAATAGTATATTGAAGTGTGTTTAAAAAAAAAATCATTTAAACTTCAGTTTGACCCTTATACATGACATTACCTTTAAGTAACTTGAAATTGGTTCCAGCAAATTAAGGAATGTCAGAATTAGCCAAGTACAGTTTCATAAACAGACTAAATGTGTAATTCTTGCTAATGACCATAGTAACAGTCAAAAGTGCTTAGAATAAAAAAGAAACAAAAATGAAATTTGGAAAGTTTGCAAATTTTAATTTTGACATAAAATAACTTAGTCAGAAATTGGAAAAACTTGAAACTTGAACAGACTGACCTTGTTGGCATAAACAAAACTAGTTTAAAAGAATTCTTGCTACCTAAATACACGTTATATATATAAATATTTATGTGTGTGTGTGTGTATGCAATATATGCATGTAATTTACAAGGTTTGAATAGATATTTTTCTCTAATATGGTAAAATAGTATATTTTGATAAAATCCAATTTGAAGATTGACCTCAAGATCTGTCATTATAGACAAACATAACCTGACAATAAAGTAGAAAAGTATTATCTGAATGTTTAAGCCTAATTCTATTGCAAAAACTTTCTGAATATAAAAGTATATATGGGTTAAACAAGAATATATATCTTAAGTTTTGGATATTAACACTTTACTCATAGTCTAGACAATGATTTTAAGTGACATATCTAAACAAGGCTTTCTTTCTATTTCATTTTTTTTCTTTTTGGGAGGAGAGGAGAAAGTTCTGAAAATGAAATAAGAAGCTAATTTTTTAAAATTTATTTTTAATTTTTTATTTCCATGTCAATTCAAATCCAAATTTAGTCCACATTGTAAATTTAGTGATCAAATTGATGGCTACCATTCATTCTTGCTCTTCATCAATACAAAGAAGGTAAATAAATGCATTTTGAACTATTATCTTCTGTTCTTTGCATTTCTTTCTTTTTATTTGTATTGTATTTTTCACATCAATTTGAATAAGCTCAGAAAAGAAGCAGCTAAATTCATTAGGTCTATTGCGATTGTGGTTCCTGCTGCTGCTGTTATTTTTGTGTTCATTATTTTTTGTGAGAGTCTAGGTTGGAAGATTGCTTATCAAAAATTTATATGATTTCTCTTGCAAGATATGAAAAGCAGACATTTTGAGTGTTTGTTCATTTTTTTCTTGAGTGACTTCTAAATTATGGAGGAATCTCTGAGCTGTAAATTCTTGGATTATCACGGAAGCTTGATTGGGCAAGAAATGTTTCTTTTTTTTTCCCAAGATACACAAACCAGGAAAGACAGAATAGAGTAATGACTAGTAATGCTCTTGTAATGACTAGTTCAGTTCTTTTCAGTATTTACTCTAATTATAGGATGAAGAATTTTGTTTATCAAAGTTCCTGATGCTTCTGCATTCAATACAAATGGCATCAATATCTAATTTCCTTATTTTGGTTGTTGCATTTGTTAAAAATCCATGCAAAGAAAACTGAGAGAAATTATGCAATGGCAAATTTTCAGACAGTCAAGGAATATATTTTGTTTGCATCTTAAATAATTTTTCTAGCAGTTTGAAACAACTGTTTAGACAAGCAGGGTTTCAACTTGAATGGTTTCGTCAGTTGCATGTCCAAAAAATATGTTTGATTAAACAAATAACAATTTTATGATCATATAGAAAAATAAATAATTGTTATTAATTTAACAAACTGAGCATGTGAACTATGATAAAATTTTAGAGAAAATGGAAACAAAAACAACATATATACTTAAGATGAGAAAGAGTTGAAATTTCTAGGAAGTATAATAAGAAAAGAGGGCTTGGAAAATTTGACACTCTCAGGACATATTGATGGTATGAGGGATGGAGGAAAACAGCAATAACCTACCTAATGAGCCCATGTATAGCAGAACAGGCTTTAGAAGAGATAGTAAAAAGACAAAATTTATTAGGAGATACAAAAGACAGGAGAGCCATATGTTCAATATCCTGAAGGGTCATGTCACATAGAAGAAAGATGTAAAATATTAGACGCAATTACCATTAAGTTTGACAAGTATGTTGTGGAATGGACACGTACCTTTGAGGCAACATGTAACTTGACATAAGACACACATGCTTTACATGGTTGTAACATATGAATCTGTACTCATGGCTTTGTTTCTGTCTAATCCTTGGCAGATTTCTTATTGAACTAACATATATATAAAAGGAAGCAAATATATCTTTATTTTTAAAATATACTAATATTGCAACCTGTTTCAAACAATCAAATTTCAAATTCAACAATTTTTTATGCATGTCTGAATAAAAATTAATGGTGCTAAAAAAGTTTATATATCATCACCTACTGAAGTAGGACAAGTTCCCAAGGTTGGGGATTTTCTGTTGGAATTACTCTTTTTAAAGACAGATATCTGTCTTTAGAGGTTTACCATTCCGTATGTGCATGTACAATATGCAGTAAAAATACCTCCTACATAATGGTAAAACATTAGCTAGATGAGGACACCATTGCTACTAATGTCTTAAAATTATGTGGGAGATATCTCTGCTACATCCTGTACTGATTATTGGGAACAAGGCTCAACAAAAGAATAAAATTTATTTATATATTATTATTATTATTATATTTTTTCCCTATAGCTGTTATACATGAAATCACACCAGACCATTTCAAACTTCCAGCTTCCCATAGAATAACAGGATGCAGACAAAAGAATTTTAACTACCATTAGACACCACAGTGGTTCTTGATAATGACTGTAATAGCCAAAGGAACTTGAATAAAAATAATGAAATATAAACTTCATATAATTTATACACAACTTCAAACACAATAATCAACACCTTATTTGAAAACTGGAAAAATATAATAAAAAGTTAAACAGACATCTTGTCAGTTTTTTTAACCAAACATATTTGTGTGTGTGCATGTGTATATATATATATATATATATATATATATATATATATAGTGTTATTTATTTATAATATATGAATTTTTACAGAGAAAGATTAAAACTTTGTTACTTACAATTGGATTTTCAGTGTTTTTTTCTTAGAAAAATAATTTGTTGTTTTCCTTTTTTTTAAATAATTTTTACTTTAACCAGTTTCACTTAGTTTTTCAAAAAGTTTTTAACAGTTAAAAAAAAGGAAAACAAGAAATTATTTTTCTAAGAAAAAAACACTGAAAATCCAATTGTAAAATTCATATATTATAAATAAATAACATTATATTAAATATTAGGTGCCTTTTTTTCCAATCCTCATTTTTAGTCTATACAATAAGTTTTTGTACAGAATCTTTCTAACAAATTTTTTTTACCTTTGCTTGCTCTCTCTCTCTCTCTCTATATATATATATATATATATATATTCATTTAGGATATATATATATATATATATATATATATATATATATATATATATATATATATATATATATATATATATATATAAACTGGGTTTCAAAAGTATTTTAATTTTGTAACCAAGAGGAATCACTTTATAGAACATGAATGCTTTTTTAATTTATTTTTATATTTTAAAGAATTAAAGAAATGGAGAGAGTGAAATAAAAATCTCTTTAAAAAACATTAGGAACAAATAAAAACAAGATTATAATTGAGAAAGTAACTGGCCTTCTGCATATTCTCTTATGGATTTCATCAAAGAAAAAAAATACTTCTAAAATCAAAAGAAAGAAATTTTTTTTCCAAGAGGATGCTTCCCCAATCACAACAATCTTAACCTCCTCAAGTATAGGATCAACCATTATCTATTCTACACATAGTCATAATCTACACTTGCTCATACAACAATTCAGTGACTTTCTAATTTGAATGGCTTTTAAGCCAGATATTATGTGCCCATTAATGAAAAAAAACAAAACAATCTCTTACCTTCTTTCATTCTCAGGTATGTTAAATTGAAGGATCCTTATTATCTTAAAAGATGTCAAGTCTGACTCTGACCAGAGTGAAAATGGAAAGAACTTAACTGCTTTGGGTTTGTGGTCAGAATGAAAAATCTGTGATTGCTTTAGAAAAGTAATCTTGATAATTTCATAGTAAAAACACTATGATCATTCCAAATTGAAAAGATTGCCTATTTGTGATTGACAAGACTAAGATTTCTGAGAATATCAATAGATAATGAAAAATATAATTCTCTGAAAAAACTGGCAGAAAGTCAAAGGTCTCTGATTACAAAAGAGAAACTAAAGGCACAAAAATACAGTCACAAGAATGAAACACCACCTGCAGAATTCTGTTAAAATATAATCTTTCCTTTTACTCCTTAGTGATTTACTTCTATGGAGAAAAAAATTTACAGCATCACCATGCTAGGTCTTGGTGCTGGTTTCTGTAGCAAGTAGGCTGTACTTCTCCTAGACTGGTTGCCAATCAAGCTTAGCTCACCCTATCTTGATATCTAACCCATAGATGGGGGGAAGAATATTAGATTCCTCAGTCAGTCAGTTATGTGTTATACGTGATACACGCTTGGGCAATTATGTATCTTTCAATACATGACTGATGAGGCAGATTTTTTCCCACAGTAGGTTGCCATTTCTTTCTGTAGTAAACCAGTTGCCATCCAAGGCTACAGAACCCGGTCTGT